AAACAACAAATAGACTGGTTATTTCAAAACACAAATTATTGGGCCATAACGTTGCTCTTTATTTAGGCCATATTGACAATCATTATCCAAAAGATAAATTACTTCAATTTGTAAGATAAATTACTTCAACATGCTTTTGAATTTCCTAAAATAATTAAACAAGAACCATTACCTCAAGTTCCAACAATATTCACTGATGGATCTTCAAATAAAAAAACTATATGTATACTGCAGGGACAAACTTTTGTTTTACAAACATTTACCAGCCTCAGCTCAAACTGTAGAATTAGGAACTATATTCACAGTCTTTAAAAATAAGGCTTCCACCTCTTTCAACTTGTATACTAATAGCCATCATATTGCTAAGGCTTCACAAATCCTACAGACTATAACATATATTGATACGACTAATAAACAAATACAAGATCTATTTTAAAATATATAACAAAATATCCAGGGCCATATACAACCTTATTAAATAGGGTATATTAGAGTTCATTCAGCACTTCCTAGACCTCTAACTTTAGGCAATGATTTAACAGATCAAGCCACACACGATCAAATTAATTCAACAAAAATTGGCTCAACAATCTCATGCCTTACATCATCTTATTATCAGAAAAACGGCTGGACAAATTATGTTTTTCTTGTCCTGAACATTTTAATATACCTCAATAAGATGTCAATCCTAGAGGACTGACTCCCAATCATTTATGACAAATGAACATAACTCAGATCCCAAAATTAAAAATAAAAACTAAAATATGTTTACATAACAATTGATACTTTTTCAAGACTTATCATAAAAACTCCCTTAACAGGAGAAACCACCAAACACAATCTAAATGTTTTGCTACAATGGTATTCCTTCCATTACAAAGACTGATAATGATACTACATACATGGATCAAGCTTTTCAACAATTTTATAAACAATTGAATACAAGTCATAAAACAGATATTCCATATAATCAAGGTCAAAAAATTATAGAGCATGCCCATGGATCTCTTTAAGAACAATTACAAAAAATAAAAAAGGACAAGTTATATCCCTAAACACCACAGAATTATATTAATGATACTCTTTAAAGTTTTTGAATGTGGATCTACAAGGCCATTCTACGCCTGATTGATTGTGGCACCCTAATAACCAAAGATAATTATTCCCAAGTGAAATGGAAACACCTAATTACTGGAATATGGCAGGGCCCTGACCCTGTATTAATATGGGGAAGAGGTGATGTTTGTGTTTTTCCGAAGGATGCTGAAGGAGCCAGGTAGATCCCAGAAAGGTTGGTACGATTTGAAGGAGGTGTTCCCCAGAAGGAGGATGTTCCTGCTGCTGACCATGGTGAATTCTGTCTTGATGGTGAATGGAGAGCTATATTGGGCTTATTCTCCTGACCCACTTTTGTTACATTCTGCTCCTGAGAGAAGATGTGCAGAGAAACCTCTTAAGATACAATGTGACTGTACTTGATTGATGTGGTAATCAGGACAATTCTCAACAAAATCAGGAAGAATGAAAAAGATGACTGCCTATGGGACTTTGGTGGTCTGATTCTGGTTTTCAGCAGACTTACATTTGGAAGTTTGCCACAGAAACTCTTGGAGGCCCAGTAACTGCCTATGTATATTCTCCTTATGCTTTGTTGTTTGGAAATGTTAACATTTTTATACAAGATTCAAACTTTAATGTTTCTTGCCATCAATGTAAACTAACAACTGTATATTCTAAGCTTTCAAATGGACAACAGGTTTTGTTGTTCAACAGCCTTTCATTGTGGTTCCTGTGAATGTTTCTCAGGCTTGGTATTTTGATAAGGGGTCATCTTTTAAGTCACTTTTATGGAATGTTATAGGACTTGGCTTATTACTCTTACTAGAAGCATGTCTCCTACCAGTGATAATTAAAACCTTCATCAAGGCCTTTTAGAACGTTAAAGCTGATCTGCATAAGATTAAACTCCAGTGTCTACCGTAGCGGAAATTTACAGCCAAAGATGGCTGAAGAATATTCAACCTAAGACAGGGCATGAATGATGGATTTCATGTACCAATGATGGGTAAGAATAAATCTTTCAAGAGAGACAACCTAAAACAGGCACAATTTTCTGTTCCATAGCTCTTAAGTTATGGTCAATTTTTAAAATACAAAAAAGGGAGACCTGTGGAGAGCCACTCGTTTGTCAGACTGCTTTATTATTGAGCTCTCAGCAAAAAAACAAAACAAAACAACAACAAAAAAACATGTTTTCACCCTGGCCTTCACCTGTCGTCAGGGATAAGCAAGATGTTTTGTCAAGTTCACTTCCTTTGGTTTGAGACAGCAGGCAGGATGTTTTGCAAAGTTCCTTTTGTTTATGTGAGGATCATACAGATGGTCGAGGTAAACAAGTTTGACTTCTCCATGAACCTCTTCATTGTACTGAGTTGCTTTGCTCTGACTATGAAAAGGGATTATGTAATAAACTGGGCTGACAGTTTCCACTGGCAGCCCTCTCGAAGAGATTCCATGTGTAGTATGTTGGTTTTAGTTTTCTTTATCCTCAATTCCCACTCAAGAACTGTTTGACTCTGACAGCGGCTTCCGGCATTAGAGCCTTGCTTTCCCCTCTGACTTAGGTTTCTTTTGCTATGATAAACACCATGACCAAAAACAACTTGGAGAGGAAAGGGTTCACTCTGTGTCACAGCATACAGTCCAATATGAAGGTAAGTCAGGGCAGGAACTCAAGGCAAGAATCTGGAGGTGAGAAGTCATGGAGGAGTGCTGCTCACTAGCTTGCTTAGCCTGTGTTCTTATGTAACTCAGGATCACCATCCAAAATGGGCTAGGCCTTCCCACATTAATCAGTCAAGAAAATGCCTGACAAATTCACGTATAGGCCAACCATATTTATACATCTTCCCAGCTGAAGAGTTCCTCTTCTCAAATGACTCTAGCTCCTGTCAGATAGCTACAAAACTAACCAATATGCCTGCCTTACCAATCCCAGTTATGGCCAGTCAAGAAAGATGCTTATCAATCCCAGGACTGCTCTTCAAACTGAAAACTCCCACTGGTTACACTTAACAATGGACAACTGCAGGACAAAAGAGGAAAAAAATCATTCTTCCCACCCTCCTTCCTCTAAAACCTTTAAGAATAACCCCCATTCTGCCATGTGGACCTGATCTCTCCTCAGAGCCCCTGTTCCCCATGCAGCTGTCTTCTATGATATTAAAATTTAAAATCTATTCTAGTAAAACTCACAAATAAGATAATCTGCCCACTTGGCCTCAAACCCAGAACTTTATATAAGTGCACTAAAGAAACAACTGGGCTGGGTATGTAGCTCAGTGACAGAGTACTTGCTTAAACAACAATGACCCAAATTTATTTTAAGTACAATTATTCTTGTGGTACTTTGAATGAAAAAGTTCAGATGAGAAGGTTCAAATGTTTCAATCCTCCATCTACAGTTGTGGCATTGTTTGGGAAAGTTAGGTTTGGTCTTGCTCAGGAAGTATGTCACTGGGTACAGGCTTTGAGGTTTCCAAGCTACACTCCATTCCTAGTTCACTCCCAGCCTGCTGCTCCAGTCTCCTGATTGCTGCCATGTTTCCCCCACTGTGATGGTGCTAAGTTTCTTAGTCTCTCTGGAACCATAAGGCCAAATAAAACTACTTCTTAATATAAATTGCCTTGGTCAGAGTGTTTTATCATAGCAATAGAAAAGCCACTAATACAGTTTTAAAAGTTAAAGGCTGGTGGGATGGCTCAGTAAGTATTGCATAGTAACAAGATGCTATCTTGCACTTTGCCCTGATAGACTTGGAAACTAGAGCAGAACAATATCGTGGTAGTCTGGTGTATGACAATCAATGGAACTACTCACACTATACAGCAGTGGTTCTCAACCCTTTAATACAGTTCTTCATATTGTGGTGTGCCCCCAACCATAAAATTATTTTTGTTGCTACTTCATAACTATACTGTTCCTACTATATGAATTAAAATATATGTGTTTTCTGATGGTCTTAGGCAATCCCTGTGAAAGGGTTGTCAACCTCCAAAGGGGTCATAACCTATAGGTTGAGAAATGCTGCTACAGAGAATCAGAAGATTCTCACCAAGTATTCCAGCAGTTATTCCCTCCCTCAGCTGCAAGTCATCTTGGGAGATGAGACTAGAAAAGGAAGTGAAAAGTTAAGATTGAAAGTGGGACATATAATGCAGAATCCATGAGGCTTCCATCCAGCATGGGGTGGGACATGGCATCAATGTAGCTATTATGAGATTACCACACTTCTGTAACTAACTCTTTACATGTGCTCTGTAAACAAGTACAATATACTCATTAGTCTCATCAGTTGGACTTTGGTGAAGTCAGCCACTTCATATCTGATATTTGGGGTGATTAGATGTTCATTTGTGCTTCCCCAGGAAAAGAAACAGTGAGTAGTGGTGCTTGAACATACGCCCGACAAACCAAGCTCAATCTCTCAATCTCACAAGGTGGCAGGAGAGAACCAACTTCTGATAGTTGTCTTTTAACCTCCACAGGTCTACTGAGAGAGACAGAGACAGACACAGACACAGACAGACAGACAGACAAAGACAGAGACAGACAGAGGGAGGAAGGAAGGGAGAGCAAGGGAGAGACCAAGCATTTCATTTTAAACATTGGGGGGGAAAAAAGAACTATTTCAAAGCCTGCCATTATGGCATGTCCTTACAATTCTAGCTATGTAGGAAGCTGAGATAGGAGGATCATGAGTTTGAGGAGAGCCTAAGCAACACAGGCTTTTAAAAGGTTTTTTTTTAAAGTTGTTTCACCATGTTTTTATACACAGTTTATAAATATTTGACGCAATAATATTCCTCTTCCTGTCATTTTGACAAATTTATATTCCTGTTTTATGGATAATAAATCAGTCAGATGATCTAAGTCACTTCAAAGCTAAAGTAACCTTGCAATCCAAGCAAACAAATCTTTGCAAAAACTTCTTACTTACAGCTCAGAAGTTTCGATGTACTTTGCCGTTCCTTCAATGGTGTTACAATACTCTGTGGCAAATTTGGTAATAAGCTGGAGTAAAGTTGCACTTTTATCATCCACAGGTTCACCATAGCTATTTAGAAGGGATTGATACTGAGCAGCTAAAACATTTATCCTAGTTTTTAGTTCTGGTAAACAATCTCTGATGTGATGCATAAGTAACCTAAAGATTAGAAAAGCAGAGTTGTAGCATAAAATTAGGTACCAGATACTTCAAGCAAGTCAATTAAAAATATGTAAGAAGAGAAAACATCCTAGTACTCAGATTCTAAAAGTGTCTGAGAACTGATGACTATTCACCAGAAAAACTACTAAAGAGCCAAGGATTTGGGATGATCAGTCTTAATTGAGTTGATCACTAATGGCTAGTGAGGTAATCAATCCTATCTATATGATGAAGCTGTCATGAAAACTCAAGCAGAGTTCATGAAACTAAAAGGTTCTGCAGAATAGCATGCCCACAGAGGGTATAAAGCCCTGGTTCACTTTTCAATATTCCATATTTTTCACCTTATCTATCTCTAACTGGTTTACCTGTGTCCTTTAGAATAATCTTTTTTTATGCATGAGTATAAAAATTTATGACCCCTGAGACCTAGCACCTATCCCACTAAGGAATAGTTACTAAGAAGCACATCCATATAATCTTTGCTGGCAATTGACACCTGAAGTAGAAGGGAAAATCTATAAAACTCTGAGGACTTAACCTATAGGATGTGATGCTGTCTCTACGTAAATATTGTCAGAAGTCAGAAGGCATCTAGTTACAATCTACTGAAGAATTACTTGTACAGTATATGGTGAAAACCCTATATAACTCTGCTGTCAGATATACTTTCTGTTCATTTCAGTAACTGTAAGAATAAGAAAACATATCACAAGAACAGGAAATAAAGCAATCTTAATCCTTAGCCTAAAGAAAATTATATAAAAGTAACTGGTTTTCACCAATACTTTTGACATATGCCTTTAGCCCACCAACTGTAGTGATTGCTAGAAAACCATAAATAAAACTAAAACAATACACATTATTTTTATCTCATTATAATCTAAAGTAAGGCACTCAGTTCAATTCTACCTGTAATTTTGTTTTAATGGTCTAACTTTTACAAGAGGTATTATTCAGCATAGTATTATAAGTAAATCCTTCTTATTAAGATCTAAGTTCATCTGCCTTCAATTTATAGGATAAAAGAAAATGGTTTTCAATCTAGTCACTTGTATGAAACTCATGTTATTTCTATTATGAATAAATGTAAAAGGAATTAAGTATCATGTAATAGTCACATGTAATGTCTGAGGCATATCATGTGATAACTGAAAATTTTACTTAAATTCATGTAATCTAAAGTGTTTGGAAATCATCTGATATCTCAGTAAAGTTCAAAACAAAATTAATTGTTAACATTTTCTTACCTGACCAGTCAGGGTACTATAGTTGCAACTGCCCTCCTAATACCAGTCCCCAAAGCTTCCTGCACCTATACTGACCGCTGTCAGCTTGCTACTGTCCTCATGGGTCCTATCAAGCGGATGAGTATTCTGATGTTGATTGATACTTCAACAAGCCAGACATAGATGGCTATGAATTGCCTAAAGAGATGAACATACTCCTTGGCTATGATTTGATTCCAAGCACCAAATCACTGATGCTGCTTTATGGGCATGTGGAAGTTAAATAACTCTGCTGGTGCTGTTTATATTCTGAAGGCTATCAAGGACAAAGGAAGACACCATAAGCAAATTTACCCCTATCCAGGAACTTAGATCAACTTTAAATGAACTAAGAATCTGCACTCCACAGGACCTGGACCTCAATGAAGCATAAACTTCTTTTGAGGAGCTTGCCAAAGATTTGCTGCTACAGCTACTTGATTGTAAACACTAATGAAATGTTGTATTTCAACAAATTTTCTTTCAGTATTAAACCATATAACAGCAATTTGGGAAATGAGTTTCAACTAAAAAAAATAAAAACATTTCCTACTTAAGAAAATTATTTGAATACTTATTCTAGACTACATGGTTTACTACCAAGCATCCGAATAAAAACAGAGACATTTGCTTTACAAGGACCCAGAAGTACAGTTGTAAGGAACAGTGAACATATGAAAGTAAACAGCAATATTCTAAGACAACTGTTGGCAAAACAAAAATATCTCATCTCCAAAAGACAAAAATGTTACCTATTCAGGGTCCTGGCAAGATACTTTGTTCCATTTCTGTTGGCCAGAGATGGGTATTTCTTTTGAAGAAAAGCATATTCATCACGGATTGAATCAGTTACACTCTTCTTATTGTTAATATCTAGCTGGCTCCTATGGTTGAAAAATAAAAAATTGTTTAATTAAAACCAATACTATGCTTTCACTGCTCTGGATGCCTGTTTGCACTAGATGATGTTTCTTGGCTTCTAATTGTTTACTTAGTCCTTGAGTGCTTTACAACAAACATTATCTTTACATTCATAACGCACAGATGTCTCAGTCAATGGATTCATCCAAGGAAGGCAAAAACAGCCAAGATTTGAACTGTACGACTTAACTTAGTATCAGCTTTATTGTTACTGTTAACCCACCCAAAGGCAGTATCCTTAAGTAAGTTGTAGACTGATATAAAAATGCAAGTATATCTTAATCATCTATATTTTATCCTTGGGCAGGTGGCTAATTTCTACCAAGAATAAAAAAAGTTAACTTGAAGTGTAATTATCTACAAATACAGAATGTAGAGGCATATATAGCACATGCTTGCCTGAAAAGAAAATAGCGGAAAGTTTTCTTTAAATGGGAAAAGGAATATATGGAGGAATATACACAGACAATTGAAATGAACTTTAGATATCACTTAATAAAATATTTATTTTTTTAAATGACCTGAGGGCTAAAGACGTCACAAGTGATTAAAAGTCTACTATATCTAGCCTATATAAAAACTAGAATTAGAATTTGGTCTTTTGACAAATGTTTTCCTTCCCATACAGCAGCTCTGACCTAGAGAAAAACGTCACCTGAGCACAGCACTGCCTCACACTAGCCCTACTACTCTGTAAGAATTCCATGTATACCATTGCAAAGTGCTCACTATAAAATGTCTAAAACACAGATAATGCAACAGTAGGGTTTTTTTTTCTATAGAATTTTAATAACAGCAATTTTCAGAATACATCTTTAAAGTTTCCAAGTCACATCCTGGCAATTACACAGCATTACTAATACTATGTGGTTAAAAGTCATTAAATTCCACCACCTTTAAATTGTCCTGATTGGGTAAAAATTAGATACTTTTTTTTTCTTTACCCAATGCCCTTCTCATATATAACTTAAGCAGCAGGCAAGAATTTGTGAAGGTTAATTATGAAATCATCTTCTATTGTGTTCACCTTAAAAATAGTTTCCATTAGAACAATGAGAGAAGAAGAAAAAAATTTTAAGAGGGCCACCGAAGTGACTCTATGAGTAAAAGCACTTGCTGCCAAGTCTGACACCCAAGTTTAAACCCCAAAACACAAATGGGAGGAGAGAACTGGTTCCTGCCAAATTGCCCTCTGACCTCCACATAAATGTTAAAAAAAACTTTTTTTTTTTTTTTTTTTAAATCTTAAAAAAACAAAACCACTACCACCAACAAGTGGTTGTGAGTCAATGTGGGTGCTGGGAAACAAACTTTGGTCCTCGGTAAGAGAAACAAATGTTCTTAACCACTGAGCCAACTCTCCAGCCCCTTCATTTCATTTTAATTGCTAACCTGTTTACTACTCCAATTATTCCAAGCTTGACTGGAATAACCCTTCCCATCAATACATCCATGGCATCAGTACCCGCATCCATGAGATCAAGTTTGGTGATCACAGCTAGAGTTCTGCGCCCTGGTAAATATAAAAAGAAGGGAGAAGACAGAACCATTTAAAAAAAGGCATTAAGTTTAGTAAAGGAAAATCTTCAACTATAATTCTACCTAACATTTTGCCTTTTTCATCATTTTGGTAATATTTTTCTAACCTTTGCTTCCAGAGCTTTATCTAAAATCAATTTAAATATGGCATACAATTTTAAAACTTGTTTTCATGAGTAATTTTTAAAAATTATGCATATATAAGCATGTCTATGTATGTGCATGCAATGGGGGCCAGAAGAGGGTGTGCTCTTAACCACTGAGTTAACTCTCCAGGGTCCAAAAGTAATTTCTTATAAGTTTGTAGGTCAAGATCTCTAAGCATTTTAAATTTTAATTGCAATTTTTTTCAGATTTTTTTTTATTTATGTGTATATGTGTGTATCTACATGTGTGTATCTACATGCAGGTGTGCTGGTGCTATCTTTGGAGGGCCAAAAAGGGTGTGGCATCCCTTGGAGCTGAAGTTAATTACTATGTATAATTTTTGACCCCCCTCCCCTCCACACCCAGTACCTAATCCTTTGGCAGTGCTTGGGAAGAAACCCAGGGCAAGCTAAGCAATCACTGATCTCTGTGAGTTCCTGGACAGCCTGGTCTACAGAGTGAGTTCCAGATCAGCCAAGGGAAACACTGTCTCAAAAAATAAAAACAACAACAAAAAAGACGTTACTTTTAAGTTGTACCTAATTGCTTTTGTGTATGTGCACATGTATTTATGTGAAGTCTATACATGGGATGTCTTCCTCCATTGCCTTCCATCCTATTCTTTGAGGCAGGGTCTATCACTGAAGTTGGAACTCACCAATTGGCTAGCTGAACAGTAAGCTAGTAAGCCCCTCTACCCTTGCCCAGGTACTGGGGCTACTAAGGTATTCCATTGTGCCTACCTTCTAGGAATTTGAACCTAGGTCCTCATTCTTGGACTGCAAATGCTTTTCCAACTGAACCATCTCTCCAGCACTACTGCTAAATTTTCTGTTTGTTTTTAGTTTTTAAAGAGACAGGGTGTCTCTGTGTAGCCTGGCTGTCCTGAACTTGCTTTTTAGATCAGGCTGACCTTGAACACACAGAGATCCACCTGCATCTACCTCCTAAGTGCTAGGATTAAAGGCATGCACTACAACTGGCCTTCCACAATTCTAAATTTTTGATACTATATATTAATATTGGATGAAATTATCTCCCTGTAATATTTGACAATTTAGATTATTAAATCATCTACATAACAAGACCCAGGCCAGCCTGGGCTACATAGTAAGAGACTGTCTCAAAAACTAAGATTACTAGATCAAATGTATACCCATCTTATTGCTTGTTTTTTTTTTTTTTATGTCTTTATTGATTTATTTAGAGACAGGTTTTCATGTAGATCAGGCTATCCTCAAACTTACTGTAGCTGAAGATGTCCTTTTCCTGCTCTTAGCTCCCAAGTGCTAGGATTACAAGTGTGCACCACCATACCTGACTAATTATAGAAATTTTAACACTTGTAGCATTACCATCAAATTTTTATTTGAAATTATTTTTCAAAGCACACACTCAAAAAAAGTTGTAACACAGATGTAGGTCTTCAGGAATCTAGTTGAAAAAAAAAAATGGTTTCCATATGAGTCAATTATCCACTCACTCCACAAAGCTAGCATTTCATACAGACTCAGAAGCTTCCAATAATCTCAGTATCACTAAATCATAATCTGGGTAAAGAATGATTTATAAATAAAAGAGATGCCTTCAAAGACTCCCTTTTATACTGAGTTTGTCTAGTGTTTTTTTGTTTTGTTTTTTAATTTGCAGAAAGAAGATTTTATAATTACTTCCTATATCATAATAATATAAATTTATTTATTCCTAAATATTGGCTATTTAAAAACTGAAATTTCATTTACACAATTAAGGAAATATTGTACCAAATAATTTGATGTTAAAGTTATTGTGTAGCTACTGCAAATATAAATCTTATGGAAAGTATTTTTGCCTATCCTTTTTAGCAATCAAGTAATTGTTTTCTATCCTAAAATTATTAAAAAAGTAGGAAAGCATTTGAAGATCTGTATTAACTGGAGGCACTCTTTTCAATAATACTCTTTTCTTGAGGAAAGATTTACCACTGTAAATCAAACGTCGATTAAATATAAACATCTGTCCTTACCATCTGGATCTACCTCTCTGGAAATCTTGAGTGCCTCTGATGTTGCCATATCTGTATTTGCAGCAGTAACAGCAAGGATAATGGAATTAGGATTACTGATGAACCGAAGAATAAGCTCTCTGATTTGAAGCTCAATATCCTTGGGTTGATCACCTACAGGTACCTAAACCAAACAAAGACAAGCAATAATCAAAATCAACTCAGCTTTTTCCCATACATTGAATTCATAGAATACAGGTATTTTTGTACTTACAAATAGCTAAAGTAAATTAACAATGTACTATAGAGGTATCTGTGAATCTGGTAATATACAAAGCCTCAAAAAATGTAACTCTTCCAAATACCAAAAATTCATTATTGAATATATCTTACATTAAAGTCTGCTGGGTATCAATTGCATACAGATGATCATTCATTCATTCATTCATTCATACAATGTTTTGTGATCTGGTACTCCTTTACATGATGTGTTAGGTCACAGCAATAAAATTAAGAGACTCAAATTCCTGCCTTTGTAGGGCATGTGTCCTAGTGATAAGAGGCAATTAATAAGCAAACACAAATATATCATCCAAGTAGCAGATAGGCCTATCAAGAAAACACTGTAGAGCAGAACAGAGTTTGGGGAATGATGCTTTTAAATTCTTACTTTAAATGATGTTTTAAAACAAAATAATCAGGATTTACTTCAATAAGATAATGATGTTTAGGTGACTAGGCAGAAATTAAAGGTAAACAAGCAACAAGCAAAACAAACCCCACATAAATATCTAGGGAAAGAACATTCTACATTGAGTGAATAATGGCAGATGTGTAGGAAAAAGAAATTAGAGAGAAATAACACATGAGCTGAGTCTAATCCCAGGATTTAGAAGAATAAGGAATTCAAGGTCATCCTCAGCTACACAGACAGTTAAAGGCCATCCTGAGATGTTGAAATAAACTAACAAAGTGAGAAAATAATACAGGAGGTTCCCAATAATGAGGAAACTGGGAAGTCACTGAAGAGATTTTTTTTCCTTAATTTTCTTTATTTTATGTGCACTGGTGTGAGGGTGTCAGGTCTGGAGTTACAGACAGTTGTGAGCTGTCATGTGGGTGCTGGCATTTGAACTTGGGTCCTTAGGAGGAGCAAACAGTGCTCTTAACCACTGAGCCGTCGCTCCAGCCCTACTGAAGAAGATTTTTAAGCTAAGAAATGATACAATCTAATTTTCACCTTAGTAGAATACTGTGGTTACTTAAAAATAAAAAACAAAGGAGACCTAGTACTATTTATCCGGTAATGTATTACATCAATCCAAGTGAAATAACAATAGCTACCTCTGCCACAAATATGCTAAGAGGTGATAGGATTCTGGATATATTATAAAAATAAGGAAAGCCCAGAGGATTTGCTGAAAGGAAGGGAGGTAAAAGGCAAAGAAATATCAAGGATGACTGTAAGGTTTTGGCTGATCAGTTAATACAGTAGAATTGCCATGTATTGAGATGACAGAAAAATGAGGAATTTGGTATTAGCCATAGCAAAGCTATAGTGCTTATTAAAGCATTTAAATGCATATGCCAAGAGGATAGCTGGATATGGATCTAGAAATACTTTGAATGTCAACATATCAAATTCATGCACTTAGTGTTATAAGATCTGCTAATACTATCAATCTAATTAGAGTGTTACATGTACCTGAAGAGGACAAGAGGTCAAAAAAAAAAAAATTGGCACTGTTTATAAACTTGGTGAGAGGGGAAGAAACCAGCAAAAGATAATGAAAAGGGGTGGCCAGTGAGATTACAGATAAAATTGTAGACTATGATACCCTAGGAAGTAAAGAAAGTGTTTTAAGGAGAAAGAAGGGCTCAACTTTTTAAAAATGTTCTGATAATAACAGTAACAACAAAATCAATTCATTCTCATATTAGGTTAATGCTAAACAGAAAACAAAACATTTCTTTATATGAAAACATGAGTATCATATATTCCTTACTTTGGTCATTCCTGGTAAATCCACAAGTGTCAGATTGACAACGTTGGGTGAGAAAACCTTAAGATGGATTGGCTCAGGGCTTACTCCCTAAAAACAAGTTTCAAATATATTACAATCATATTAATTTTCCATTAATTATGAAATGCTAGAACAAACTACATTCAAATGCATAGATTTTAGATGCTACTAAATATTTATTAAACTGTGGCTCCTAAAATCTTTCAATAATAAAAGCTTAATGAAACATGAATGAGAAGACAGCCAATCATATAACAAGTAGGTTATAATCCGACTCAACCCTATACCATTAATGTATAAAATTTCTTTCCCTATACTAGTTCACTTTTTCTATACTCATATATCCATCTTAAAAAGGCTTAACAGATTAAGAACTTAAAGAACAATGCACTCTTCATTTATCCAAAATTATGATGTTCCCAAGTTGATGGTGCTAAGTTGAGAAAGTAATAGATAAGCAGCTCTTCACATTAATTTGGTCCCAGACATTTAAACATTAAGCGTACATATACAGTGTACATATATACTAAGTTCACTCAGGAAATACATTTCAATTTTCAGATCCCCGAGACAAAAAGCTATCCCTGACATAATCTAGTTATATTCCTGTCATATTCCAAGAAATTTAGGAAAGTATGGTGGGAGCAGCAGTTACTCCAAGGTACCAGTTTGACAGTGAGCAAAAACAGTTACTGAAAGAGTCAAATGTTTTCAACAGGCACAAAATGTCTTTCTGCCAGGAAATAAAGTCTACATCACAGTATCTGGCAGAAAATATATATTGAATATTACTAGGCTCAAGGTCACCTGTGAGATTTAATATTCCCCCAGATAACAGAGACTATCAATAAAACCAATAAGAAAACAGTAATTACAATAAAGGGCACAAAAAAGGAAAAGAAGCTGATTTTGATATTAAAAATATCTTAGATCCTTGATTTAAATTCTCACATTCTTAGAAAATATTTGACTGTAATAAGTTCTATGTAATTAAGTTCACAAAACATAAAGTACTTTATAGGTATAAAAGTTTTAAGGTGTGTGTGTGTGTATATGCACACACACGCATGTTTGTCTGATAACCTGTGTTAACTGCTAATTGGCAGGAACTAGAATCACCTTGAAAAGGGAATGCCTGTAGGAGATTGTCTTTATCACTCTTGAATTAGAAAGACCCATCTGAATTATGAATGGTACCTCAGCTAAACAGGTAGAAAAAGACAGTTAAAATTCAGTATGTATTCATGCACTCACTGAGCTATTTTGATATTGAACATAATGTAATGCGGCTAGCTGCTACAAGTTCTTGCTGTGACTTCCCTGCCACAATGGACTTTAAGTGGGAATAAACCTTTCCCTATTAAACCTTCTCACTTGCTTTTGTTGGGGTATTTATCACAGCAATAGAAAAGAACTCATAACAATGTGTGTTGCTGTTGATTTAACCCAGGACTTTCCACTCAACAGTCTATCACTGATTTATGTCCCTAGCCTTTGGTGTTTATGAAACTACTTCAGTGTTTAGTTCAAGCTGGCCTTGAACTCATATCCTTCTACTTCTACCTCCTCAATCCTGGGAATTCAGATATAAACCACTACAAGTAAGTTTTATGTTTGGGGAGTAGGAGTACTCCTTTTTGTTTTTTGTTTATTTTTGTTTTGGGGAACAGGGTTTCTCTGTGTAGCCCTGGCTGTCTTCAAACACAAGAGATCTGTCTGCCTCTGCCTCCCAGGTGCTGGAATTAAAGGCATGCATATGCCATCACTGCCTGGCACAAGTACTCCACTAAAAAATGATTAAGATTATAAATTTATAAATCAACACATAACTGTAATTCCCAGCTACTAAGGAAAATGAAATAGGTGGACCCCAAGTTCAAGACTAGCCTGGGTAATTTTATGAGACACTGTCTCAAAATAATAATTAAAAAAGTGGCTTTAGGATATAGCTCAGTGATAGAAAATTAACTAGTATGTACTATCCCCCACATTCATTGTCAGTACTAGAGGGAGGGGAAGATTATGACTTAGCAATGCATTTACATATTATTATACAAAGAAAACATTCACCAATATATTTACTTTTTTAAAGTCTTTCAGGTTTGAAACAATACCTACCTTATTATTTCCTGAAATTCTTTCGGTTTCATTTTCAATTTCTTGTCGAATTTCATCAAAATCTGTGTAAAGCTAAAAATTATTGAAACAAAAAGAACCATATTCTAAATAAGATCAGACATTCTTAAGGGGTAAAGGCCACATTAAAGAATATGTTTAGATTTACTGCAGAAAATTAGTCTACATTTCTCATATATACATGCGTTTTTCTAAGATTTGTTTCAAAGTTGCCCGATCTCACAACTTAAAAATCTCCAAGTTAGAAAGGATTAAGTTAAACTACTGCAGTTAGATGTATTACTGAGACAAGTTTTATTTTAAAGACACACATTTCCAGTAAGAAACTTTATTTTCTACTTTCTTTATAAAACAATATTTTCTATATATTACTTCATTGTATTTGTGAGTGATTACCTTGTTTTTAGTGTGAAGAAATTTACCCCATTCTTCTGCTTCAACTCCTAGAGAAAGAAAAAATCATTTCTTAGAGAATGAAAATTGGGTTTTCTGGTTAGGAACTTAAAAAGATAACACAATAAACTTTGTTTTAACTAACTACAAGTTAACAAGTACTTTAAGGTCTGCTAAATACACATTCACAGCTTTAAACCATGGCACTGACTACAAAGGCAGGACTAACTTCAAGTACTCCCAGAATTTGAAATCTAGTTCTTAAAAATACATTGTTCACTCCCTATCTGTTTGTATAATCACAAATCCTAATGTTTGTATAATCACATAATTGATAACTGATTTAAATATCTTATATATGAAAGTTTATTCAATGAAAAAAATTTAAAGAACTAGAAAGAAAAACTAAAAATCCCATTAGATAATGCAAAAAAAAAAAAAAAACTCATGTAACAAATGTATACATAACATAGAAGTTAAAAATATACATGCAATATATGAATGAAATAGCTATTTTTTCCATTTTTTTTTAAATCACTACCTTTTATTTGGTTTTCTGTTGGCTATATATAAGGCTCTCAGTGATAGGGTAGTAGCTGTCCTGTAATGCACACTGCCAAGGTGCTTTCTCCCAAGGTCAAGTCTATGTTTTCTCATGGAATTGTAGAACAGAAATGGATGAAAATAGATGTATGTCTGTACTGTAAGGAACTGACCTCCTGCTAGCTTCTAGTCACACTCTGCTTCTCCTGATACCTTACCCAAGCACTGCTATTCTGCTTTCACCAATTTTGGAAGCTTAAAATATCTTAATAATTTAAAGTAGTTAATGCATTATGAGTCACTTGAAATAAAAATTAAGATATTCACATCAATATTTATTTAGTAAAAGGTATTACCACTCTTTGTTTGAAGGACTAATTAAAGTACAGGACTCATAGAGGTACTACTATATAACAAAGTGGTATTTTAAATTTAATTTGCCATGTAAATTTTCAGTATCTTCACAATTACGATTTTGTAAAAATCAAATCTACCACAAAAAAGGCCTGCATGTAAATGCAATGCCAAAACACTAACAATAATCATTAAAACCTGCAATCAATGTGAACAAGCAAATAAAAATGGAGAAGAAAGATGCACACAGCATGTAGGGGTCCATAAGCACACATGCAGGCATAAAAAAAAGAAGAGCTAAAAACAAAGGGATAGAAGAAACCTTTAGAAAGGTGTCTTGAGTTTTTCCATGTAGCAGGGTCTGTAGTTAAAGAGAAATAGCACAAAGTAATTTTAGTGCTCATCCCTAAAACTTTAAGCTTAAAAAAAAAAAAAAAACCCTCAAATGTGTAAAACATAACATTTCAAATGTGCATTAAGTATTTAATTATTCACAGCTTATTAGAATTGTAGGAACTATATTTTTACATATTATAAGCAAAGCATATTCTGTGTAATACTTCAACTTTTTAAGGATTTCAGTAAAGAAATTTTTATTTTACCCTCAAAAAGTTTGCCTCAGATATATGAAAGACTACTGTGGGAAAAGATAAATTGTGTAGTTTAAGAGCCTAGGAAATATGACAAGCACATCCTTTGAAACTATCATAATTAGTAAGTAAATGCAGTTAGCCTATTTGCTAAAAATGACTATTTATAAGGGTACTTCATTTGAAATAAAAATTTCATTTAGCAGAGCACCACAAAACATTAACTCTTCCAACTCATGAACTCAATGCAACGAAATCTACTGTCACAATTCTTGCACTTCCTGTTAATTACATACATTAAACACAAAATATTTTAGCCAGTTTTCACAGACCTCAGTTAAAAATTACACTTTGTTTTATCTTACAATGTGCTGCTCTTTACACATTATCTGGGGCTCTCTTACATATAAAACCTTAAGGAGCTTTTATAATAAGCTTTTATACCCAAGATGAAACTGAATTCTATTATGCAAGAGATGTGTTCATGTTTGTATAAAGCAAAAGCAACACTAACTCCCAAAGGCAAGCTAAACAAAATAAAGAGTAATCTTGGTAACTCAGGCCCTAAAAACAGTGGCATGGTTTGTGCCTAGTTCCAAAGCAAACTTGCACAAAGGGTACCGGACACAGACTCTGTGAAGCTATAGCCCTCGTGTATTTAAACTAACAGAAAGTACAGAAATGAAAGTAGAACTGTAAAAAGTAAAAATAAGGGGCTGAAGAGATTGCTCAGAAGTTATGAACACTGGCTGCTCTTCCAGAGGTCCTGAGTTCAATTCCCAGCAACCACATGGTGGCTCACAACCATCTATTACAAGATCTGGTGCCCTCTTCTGGCATGCAGGTGTGCAGAACATTGTGTACATAATAAATAGACAAATCTTTAAAAAACAAGTTAAAAATAAAAAAGAATCATATACAAAAAGGTTTTAGATTTGTTTTTAACTTTGTATTGGCTTTTTTTTGTGATGCTTTCTTCAAAACTATTTTCTCTCATTATTCATGTTTTTTAAATCCAAACTACATGTAAACGTTTCATTAGTTCTTGATTTCCACATGGTTAGAATGATTTTTAAGCCTAAACTGCTTGTCCAAAGGAGAAAGTGGTTTTGATGAGAAGGTAAGGATAGCTAGCACCATGGCGCAGAGGTAAAGACCTCTGCTGCCTAATTTCCTGAGTTCCATCCCCAGGACCCACATGGTAGAAGGAGAGAACCAATTCCCTCAAGTTATCTTTCACTGGAGCACCCTTGCCATAGCACACACATACATCCACACACAATGACACATATTCACACATAAAATAATAATGTTTTTAAAAAGGAAGCCGAAGAATTATGGTACAATAAGGATGAAATTTAATGCTCAACTTTCTATTTGTTTTGCATTCAAAAGTAGCTGAGATATCACTGTAAGTTGAAGCACTATATATATATATATATATATATATATATATATATATAGTGATGTGCAAACACACATAGACATAACATGGACTAAGCTCAAGAATAAATATAACTGCAGAGAAAAATATGCAGCTCTACTGATCTGACCCTACATCAACAAAACATGCTGGGCAAGGTGACATCAAGGAACTGACATGTCTACACCCTTTCTTAACAAGGTAAAATTTATTTAAGGAAATACCACATCTGCAAATAGTGTCTGATAGAGATACTGTTCTTTCAAAATGGCTGAGGAAAAAAAGACCTACAGCCATATAGTTCCTCAATATCCTGGTTTAAGGGTATTAGGTAATATGTTCAATGGAATTAGTGATGGTGAAATTCTGAAAATTTTATCCTAGGTATTTGAGGCTAAGCCACAGGTTAGTCAAGAATGAGTAGATTCAAGGTTCAAACTTTAAACACATAGTCATGCATGTCTGTAATTCCAAAAACTGGGAGGCAGAGGTAAGAGCATCACTACAAATGATAAGCTGTCCTGATCTATACTATAAATTATAAGACAGTAAGGGCTATGTAGCAAGACTTTATCTCAAAATAAAATAAATACAACAAAAAGAACTTCAATAATAAACATTAAAATATAAAGTAATACTAGTATATCAAGAAGATACTTAATAATTAAAGGGTTTCTATAAAGCTGATCACCTACTATAAAATATTACATAAGGGTATTTACAAAGCTCATTAACTTTCTTTAGTTATTATGGAATCCCTGGTTTTTTGTTTGTTTGTTTGTTTGTTTGTTTTGAGACAGGGTTTCATTATATAGCCTTGTCTATCCTGGACTTGCTTTGTAGACCAGGCTGGCCTCAAACTCACAGAGATCTGTCTGCCTTTGCCTCCCAGTGTCCTAGGATTACAGGCGTGCACCACGGCGCCCACCTTGGTTGGAGTCCCTGTTTTACTGTCTGTCATTGGTAACATATGTTTGTAAGCATGTACTTGGGAGGTAGAGGCAAGAAGGATTACAAGTCTGAGGTCCTTCTGAGGTGTTTTTAAAGCCAGTTTGGACTATGCGATCTCACAACACCCAGAAATCTTTCTGTAATAGCCCTTCTCAAAGACTAAAGGAAAATTTAATAAAAAATTAGTGAGCACATGATGAAAACAGAAAGAGCTAAATAAAATAGGAACTGTTTTTACTTTAAGTAACTGATTTCTATTTAACCACAGTTTACTAAGCTAAATTATTCAAAAGGTACTATTCCCAACAGCTTTACTCAGCATTTCAAATCAACAAAAATTTTGTGTGTGTGTGTTTTGTTTTGAGACAGGGTTTCTCAGTGTTGCCTTAGCTGTATTGGAACTGACTCTGTAGACCACGCTGGCTTCCAACTCAGATATCCACCTGCCTCTGACACCCAAGTGCTGGGATGAAAGACAGATACCACGCCACAGGATTTCTGATTTTGTTATAGGCTCTAGTCCAATTAATTAATGAACTTTTTACTTAGAAAGTCATCTTGAAAACAGCCTAAAAAGGAATAACATTTTAAAATAATTCTTATTCCAGTTCTGAAATTTACCATTTTCTTCTCCTGTTGTTTTTCGTTTATCTTCTGGTGCAACATGGACCAGCTGCAGAATGAGAGGTCTCCGGGTAACCACACCAGTCCCTCTGGGAAGAAGGTCCCTTCCCACTAGGCTTTCCAGCACTGAGCTCTTTCCACTGCTCTGAAAACAGAATATACAAGACCAAATTAATGATTTCTCTAAACGGACTGTACTAAAAACAAAGCTGTATATATACAAGTTACATAATTCAAATTCAGAGAAAATGAAAATCTACACTTAAAAATTAAGATACATAAAAAAAGAAAAAAAAGTCAGGGGTCTTTTCTGAGACTGATACTCTAACCAAGGACCATTCATGGAGATAACCTAGAACCCCTGCACAGAGGTAGCCCTTGGCAGTTCAGTGTCCAAGAGAGTTCCCTAGTAAGGGGAACAGGGACTGTCTCTGACATGAACTCAATGGCTGACTCTTTGCTCACTTCCCCCTAAGGGGGGAGCAGCCTTACCAGGCCACAGAGGAAGACTATGAAAGAGAGTCCTGATGAGACCTGATAGGCTAGAGTCAGATGAAAGGGGAGGAGGTCCTCCACTATCAGTGGACTGGGAAAGGGGAATGGAAGGAGATGACGGAGGGAGGAAGAAAAGGTGGGATTAGGAGGGTGTGAGGGTGGGGCTACAGCTGGGATACAAAGTGAATAAATTGTAATAAATAAAAAATTATATTAAAAAAGTCACTCTCCCCCAAATTGTTCACTTGTTCTTTCTTTCCCCTGCACCAAAACAGGGTCTCTCTGTGTAGCCTTGTGTTTTGATCTCACTTTGTAGACCAGGCTGGCCTTGAACTCACAGAGATCCACCTGCCTCTGCCTCCCTAAGCACTGAGATTACAGGTGTGCACCACCACGTGACTTTTTGATAGTCTCTTAACCAAGTCTTAAAACCTATATGATATAGGTACCAATCACACATAGTAATTTCACTATAAATAGGGCATTGATAACTTTATTTTTAACATAGTCAACAGGAATTAAATTCTCTAATCATATATCTCATGTTTAGTTTTTGTCAACTTGCCATAAGCAAGAGGAAGAGGAAGAGGAACCTCAAAGAAAAAAATACTTTAATCTGATAGACTGTAGGCAAGTCTGTAGGCCAACTGCTTGACTAATTATTGATAGGAAAGGCCAAGCTCACTGGGAACAGGAACAAGAAAGCAGGTTGAGAGACACAGTCATATGCATTGGAAATAGAGAATGTCTTATGACTTTATAGACAGCACAGCTGTTTGACATAGTTCCAGCAAAGCTTAGCTGAATGCTGTAACCACTGCCATTCTGTCTCTCACTTTTAGGTTTTGGTCTGAGTCTTCTTAGGAAAGTCCTAAATTTACTATCTCTTCTGCTTTTAGGAAAATAACTTTATCTGGCCATATTTGGAAGTCTTCCATATACCCTGGAGATCACGATAAGCACTAAAACACTAGAAATTTCTTTATGACACCATGACTCCAGAAATCTTCTTGGGGTATCAGTCCCTAAGCAAACTCAAACAGTAAAACCGGAACAGGATAAACTTAGAGATAGTTGACACACTCCAACTGGCCAGGAGAATTGGTAACAGATTAAAGGCTTCTTTTTACAATGTAGTTCAGACTACAATGTAGTCTGAAAATGTAGTTTAAAAACAGGGGTTCATACAAGATATGCCCTTGGAGGAATAGAACTCAATAAATAAGACAGATTAACTAAAATAACTTTCATACTTAATAGAGTAGATGATGAAGACTTGGGTATTAGTATTTGCTATTCATAAAAAAACTGGTTCAGATACTTTCTCTTTGTCTGGAGTGCTTTAAAACTGCAAATACTGCCAGCCTAAAAGCAGGGTGTCATATAAAACAAATGTGTTTGCTTGGGCAGAGACATTCTTCAGATTCTTTGAATTAGAGTTATAGGGCTGATAACAAAATAAAATCTGTTCTATTTGTACTTTCTGTGACTGAACTTGTAATTTCAGACATGTAATGAAAAATCAAACACATGTCTGGAGATAAAGTGATATAATCTGTACATTTTGGATAATGATGAGTCTGTCTTTGTTCCGTGAAACCTCAAGAAGCAACTTGACTGCTAGTCAGTCAGAGCTGCAAGATTCTCTGGACAACTATACCTGACTAACTCCTCACTCATAGACTCCTTATCTCCTCTCTGAAACATGTCAATTGCTGAGGCTGGCCCCTACTCCCCCCAACCCCTGCAGTTGAACAAACTACAAGGAGCAAGCCAGAAAGCAGTGTCCCTCTATCACTTCTGCTTCAACTCTGTGCCCTAGGTTCCTGCCCTTACTTCATTCAGTGATGGAGTATAACCTGAGAGTCTTCTTCCCTATGTTGCTTTTGGTCGTTGCGTTTCTCACAGCAATAGAAACCCTACAACAATATAAAACAACTTCTATGTGTAATAAAGCAGTATTCTGTGTAAAACTAAATGTCAGGAAATGGATACTTAAAACTTTTTGCTACTTGTTAGGGTTTCTATTATTGTGATAAAACATCTACCATGGCCAAAACCAACTTGGAAAAAGCTATTTCATCTTAAAACTAGTAGTCCATCATTCAGAGATATCAGAGCAGGAACTTAAATACAAGAACTAAAGCAGAAGCCACAGAAGTCTTGCCTCCTGGTCTGCTCCCTATGGCTTATTCAAGCCTGCATTCTTAGAAAACCCAGGACCAGCAGCCCAGAGTGGGCAACATTCACAATGTGCTGAGACAACTCCTATCAATCATCACCAAAAAACAGGCTCACCCACAGGTCAGTCTAGTAGGGTCATGTTCTCAACTTGAGGTTCCTTCTTCCCAAATGACTGTTGCTTGTGTCAACTTGACATAAAACAAGCCAGCACCAAAATCAACATGGGGAGAAAATATTTTGTTATTTTTAAGATGTATTTTAATTACAACAATTATCCTTTTCTTTTTCTCCCTTCTTTTATCAACTATTTTTGCATGCATATATATGTAGACACACACACACACACACACACACACACACACACACTCCCAAATACAACCTGTTGAATACATGTTATTTTTTTTTATTTATTTTTATTTTAAGTACTTGGTGTTTTGCCTGCATGTATGTCTGTGGGTGTAAGATCTTGGAAGTTACAGACAGTTGTGACATGCCATGTGGGTGCTGGGAATTGAACCCCTGTCCTCTAGAACAACAGTCAGTGCTCTTAACTACTGAGCCATCTTTCCAGCCCGAATCCATTTTATTTGTATGTATGTTTTCAAGGATGAACGTTCTTCCGTGGGGAGAGCCATCTCTTCTGCTTCTGCTTCCATATTTACTCAGTAGCCAGCCTGTGGTTCTTTGTGTAGGATTGAAGCCTCACGAGCTTTTCCCCATCCAATTTAGCATGTTCACTGATGTCCTGTTCAGCTCTCACATTTAAGTAGTCATGTTGGTGAAACTTTATAGATACAGCTTCTGATATTACTAGGAGACACAATCTCAAAACAGTCCTGATCCTGTCTTACAATCTTTCTATGATTATTCCCTAGGCCTTGGGTATGGTAGTGTTTTGTAGATGGGTTCCATAAGCCTGCATATCAGTTGATTGTGGTTTTCTGTAGCAGTCTCCATTTGTTGCAAAACAACTTTCCTTGATGAAGGTTGAAAACTACACTGGAGGTATAAAGATAAATGTTTATAGGTTGATGTTAGGGATTATTCTGGATTAGTATATTAGTGGTTGTAGATTCTCCTCCAAAAACCATGATTTACCAGCACTGATTAGGTAACTGGATTTCCAGTACCAGGCATGGCATCCCACTTGTTGAACGGGACATACGTTTAATATTAAGATTTTGAGAATTCTCCAAACTGATCTCCACAGTGACTATAGCAGTTTGCAATCCTACCAACAGGAAGTGAGGGTCCCCACAACCCCCACATCCCCTTCAGTATTTACTGTCGTTTTTTTTTTTTTCCATTGATCTTTGCCATTCTGACCGGTGTAAGATGAAATCTCAAAGTTGTTTTTATTTCCATTTCTCTAACTACTATGGGAAATTTTGTAGTAATACTTCTTAGCTATTTTATCTTTTATCTTCTTTTGAGAACTCTCTATTCAGGTCCCACGCTCACTTTTTAAATGGCTACTTTGTTTTTACTTTTTTTTTTTTTTTTTAGTTTTTTTATATATTCTAGATATTACTCTGTCAGATTTATAGACCTACCTATTTCATGTTGCTATCTATTGATAGAAACTGCCTTTGTTTTCTTCTACAAGTTTCAGTGTCTCAGGTTTATGGCTTTGGTCCATTTGTAGTTAATTTTCACGCATATCTTCTACATGTGGACAACCAGTTTTCCTAGCATATTTTGAAGATGTTTTTATTTTTCCGGTATATGTTGTTGGCATCTTTATCAAATGTTAAGTGGATGAAGTTATGTTTGTTTATGTGTGAGTCTTTGATTTTTGTCCTACGGGTGTACATGTCTGTTTTTGTGCCAATACTAATTGTTTTCAATATGGCTCTGTAACATATCTTAAGACCTGGAATGGTAATACCTCCAACATTGTGGAGTTTTGTTTTTGTTGTTGTTCTGTTTGCTTGGGATTGTTTTATCTATCCTGCATCATTGGTGGTTTCATATAAATTTTAAGATAGTTTCAGTTATTTCTCCTAATAATGAGATGAAGATTCTGACTAGGATTACAGCAAATCTGTAAATAGCTTCTGGCAGAATGGTCATTTTTGTAATGTTAATTTTACTAATCTATGAGCATGGGATGCCTTTTCATTTTCTACTGTCATTATTTATTTCTTTGGTGGCTTAAAGTTTTCATTGTAGAGGTCTTATACTTCCCTGGTTGGGTTTATGCCTATGTTGTGGATATAAACATGTTTTTGTTTATATTCCAGGGGTGGGATGTGGGACTGATTCAGATAGTCCACAGCAGCAAACCCTTTGCCTCATGCAGACTCTGAGAGGCGTTCTTTGCCACCTGCAGATAGTTTAAAACTGAGGACTCTGGAGAGAGAATAAATTCCAGAGCCTAGAGAGTGTGGAGGAGCTTCAAGAACAAGGCTCCTACGGCTTCCCCCTGCGGCTTCTGGTTGCTGCTGATGCAGTGAGAGAAGAAGT